TCACGCCGCCTTCATTATTTAATGTTATTTTTCTTGGATATGAAATAAAATTATATTGAAAATGAGATTTATTGAACTTTTCTCTTTGAGCCGACTGCTTCCTGTCTGATTAGCGTTCACTCTCACAGCAGAGGAACATTTTAAGACTCTGACTGAAGGTCCGGGCAGCGACTTCATGGATCTGTACAGTAGCTGAAACCACACGGGCCGACTGCTGAGAGCAACCAGACTGAATAAAACTGATTCCAGGTCAAACGCAGACGTGTTTTTATTTGACGCGTGAACACTTTGAAATGGTCGGAGCCTCGATTGAGTTATTTTTCCCACAACCATTACATCATCAAGTTAGCGTGACATGTTTTCATGAGCTGGTTACCAAACTTTTTCCGTTGGTTGCAGACTTTTGCAGATGATAAAGCACAAATGCAGCAGCAAACTGTCAAACAGTCTGATGGAGTCCCTGAGGGATTCACTGCTACTCATTTGAATAATTTCAAAGTTTTGCAAAATAGTAGATGACTTGGGNCATTTCAGTGAGGATGTTTAAGGTTCATTTTAACTCCACTTAAACAGCCTGTTTTCAGCTGTGTGATGACGACTGTTTCCATCTGATCAAAGAGGGGTTTTAAAGAGTTTATTTAGTTTAAAAAGGAGGAGAATTTTCTCAACACATGAAGAAACACTTCATCCTTCAGTTTATCACAAACATCATCTGAATACACTGGACAGGAAAGGGAGTAAAAACTGTCATGTGAAAATTGATTTCTGTGTGTGTGTGTGTGTGTGTGTGTGTGTGTGTGTTAGGTCTGGGCGATGTAATGACTATGTATGATATATCAATATATTTGCGTCTCTCTCTCTCTCACGCTCTACTATAGTAAAGCCCGGTATACACTTTGGGATTTTGGGCTGTCCCAGACCACAGATGACCAACATGAAAGAAACGTGGCGATATCTGTGGTCGTGGCTCTAAAACGGTGATCCTATGTCACACAGTGAGAGAGGTTGAAGGATGGCGGTCGTCACGGTCTGTGATCAAAGACAGCCTGTTACCACCTATGTCTACTAACCAACCAATAGAAACACAGCATGAAATGAGCCAAACAAACACAGCGGACAGCAGCTCGCCATGGAGGCAAAACTAAAGCACTAATAGAAATGTGAGGAAAACCTTGTGAAGCCTTGTGATGTGCTCTAACCAGCTCTAACCATGACGAAGCATGGAAGGAAATAGAGGCGGAGCTACAGCTGCCAGGTCAGACACCTAGAAGCTAGCAAACACACACAGATAATGTACAGCCCTGATATTTACTTTATATCATTTTTTCATTTCCACGTTGGGCAGCTGTTTATTTTCAAACAGAGAAAACAATCCCTGTCTTTTGCATTTTATTTTGATCACATTCTGTTTTTATAAAAGTGATTGTGACGTCTCAAATGTGTCTTTGACTTGTAACTAAACATGGAGCTCATTTCATAGAAAACACAGAGATATACTGTGTATCGCCGCTCAGCTTGAAAATACAGAGATATGAATTTTTGTCCCTATCACTCAGCCCTTGTGTGTGTGTGTGTGTGTGTGTGTGTGTTGTTACCGAGCTCAAACATCTGCAAAGGGAGGTGGAGGAACCCTGACAGGGGGGTGTAGGGGTTGGACTGTCCGGGGGCAGAGCAAACATCGTCGGCCGCCGGCAGCAGCAGCAGGAAGGAGACACCGTGGCCGAGCTCCACCACCTCCTGACTGTAGAGACGGAAGTGACGGGCCTGCACACACACACACACACACACACACACACACGACCCACATAACGTTGATGCTCGTCTGCCTTAACGATGCAGATTACACATTAGACCTCAGTTACATCAGTAATACAAAGTAGTAGATCAGTGTTAAAGGTCCAACTGATATTTAGTAGTGATTTTGAGGACAGACTGACGGTGTGTGTCCAATGGGTTCTTCCTGTCCCAAAAACATGTGTCTGTGTTTCCTCCTCCTCTTCAATCACCATATATTCAGATCTTGTCTTGTTGCACAGATTATTTAACTTTTGACAGGTATGATCCCTTAAAAATAGTTTCTAAGGACCTTCTAGCAGTGCATAAGGGAATACTTCAGCAGCTAAGGGCAAACACTTAGAGATTAAAGGGTTTCCCCTGAAACATCCAAAGGAAATCCTTATGGTGATTTTATGCAGCTCATTTTCTAAGGAACCCTTCGATGAAAATTCAAGGGCAACCTTTGCCCAGGTGGTTTTACGCAACAAGGCAAAGGTGTGTACCTGGTGCAGAGGTAGGTTCAGGTGTTTCAGCAGAGACTTGATTGACGTCTGCAGCTCGTAGTACAGTAATGGGGCGTGGCTTTCAGGTCTGGACTCCGCCTCCTCACTCTTCTCACCTGCAGCTGACAGCGTCTGGATCCAGTCCCACTCCTCCCTGAACACACACAAACACACACACACACACACACACACACACACACACAATTTATCAGCACAGATATTTAACGATGAATCGTCCTGTTGTCTGCTGAATATTCTTATTTCCATTTTCATGACACACAAAGAATTACCACCCTGTGGTTGTATGACCCCGCCCACCAGCCCACCCTGTGGTTGTATGACTCCGCCCACCAGTCCAGTGTCTCTGACAGTCTCCATCCATGTCAGTGAAAACATGGATGCTTCCCACACAGAAGATCTATATAATCAGCACAGTTTCAAGATTAGAGTCACCAATTCAGTATCTGACCAAATGTCTCCCCTTCTGTTCCTGAGATATGACGTTAAAACATGATGATGTCACAGTCAAGCTGACCTTTGA